AAAAAAAAAAAAAAATGAAGTATCAAAACTATAAAAAAATTTGAAGATTTTAATTGGTTGTACCTGTGATTCTAAAATTGGGTAACTCTTCCTTCCATAAAATAGATTAAGTGCCCTGGTGGGCTGAGCAGAAGAGTTTAGCTTTACAGACAAAAAGTGGCTGAAGAAAACAGAAACAGAAAACAAAAAGTGAATTGGTAATTTCTTTTTCTCTTCCTTTTCTTCTCTTTTTCTTTTTTCTTTCTTTTCCCAGTACCAGGGATTGAATCCTGGGCTTTCACACTGAGTTACTTCCTGAACCCTTTGTAAAATTTTCATTTTGAGACAGGGTCTTTCTAAATTGCTAAGGCTGGGGACAAACTTGCCACCCTTCTACCTTGGCCTCTCGGAGTGCTGGGATTACAGGCATATGCCACCATGTCTGTCTGAATTGGTCATTTATTTTTCTTTTCTTTTTAAGACAGGGTCTTGCTATACATTTGAGGCTGGCCTTGTATTCACTAAGTAGTCCAGGATGGCCTCGAACTCCTGGCTCTCCTCCTGCCTCAGCCACTCAAGTTTACAAGCATGCGCCATCATTCCTGGCTGAACTGGTCATTTCAAACTTACTTTCCTTGGATAACTGGAATAGGGAAACAATAATTTCAAAAACTGAATGGTTAACATCAAGTTACTTCTGATTTTTCTTTTATTTCTTCTTTTTATGGTAAGAATTAAAGCAGAGAAAACTTCATTATCATTTTGATTAAATTGCCCTATTTGGGAAATTTGGCTGTTATCTCTTTCTCCCCTGAATTAGCAGAAGACCAGATAACTTCATTTTGGTTTGGTGATGTGGAACTTTAGCATGAGTGACTTCATTTTGATTTTCAGTTTTGTCTATTGGCACCTAGTGCAGGAGTCTAGTCCAAAACAATGATCTCTAATTATTTAAAAGGAGGAAGTAAGAAAATGGTAGAATAAGTCTCCAGAATGATGAGAAGAAATAACATCACTTGGGAAGTTTATTCCTCAAGAATGAGAAAATAATGACATCTGGTAAACAAATCATAATTTCATACACATATACATGTATACATGTATTACTATAAACATTTTTTCATTTAGGCAGTTTTTAAAGTTGTATATAAGTGGACTTTATTCATGCATCTTCTTAATTGTTTCTTCCTTATGTCTGCCCTTTTCCTTTCCTATACTTTGCAAGATTCAGCTGTAAATTCCAGGATCTTTTTGCAATCTTTGTCCAGCATTAGCCTGGTGATAACTGCTATCTGGGGTGAATGCCCGCATGGGCAGTTGTGCCATTTGCCTTTTCCCGTTGCACCTATTCAATGTAGGTGACATATTTCTTCCTGTAAACCTGGAGTACTTTGCCAATCTGCTGACCTCTGTAGTGTCCTTGCACAACCTGAATCTCATCATCCTTTTGGAGGGGCATAGATCAAACATTTTGTTTTTGTCTCAGCTCTTTGGAAAGAGGAGAAGACATAATCTTCCTGCGAGTGTGGGAAGGTCCATTGGAATGCCTTTTACTGTTCTTGCTTTGGTCCCAAGTCACAAAGACTGTACTTCATTTTGACCACTGCAGCTCCAGCGATGGCCGCAAAGGGGAAGAGGTCTACACGTTGCTTCTGGTTCTGTAAGTTCACCTACAAACACATATGATACTAAAAAAGTACCATATATCAAAATTTGCATGATGTAACTAAATATATGAAGAGAATATTATGACTTAAAACAGGAAAATATTATTTGGGGTTTTTTTGTTTTTGTTTTTTTTTTTTGGTACCTGGGATTGAACTCGGGTCCTTGTGCTTGTGCAGCAGGCGGTGAAACTACTGAGCTAAATCCCCGGCCCAAAACAGGAAAATATTGAGCTAAACATCCAACTCAAAAAGCTAGGAAAAGAATGGATAAAATCTAAAGAGAATAGAAAGGGAGTGTTGGGGCTCAGATAATGATACCCCAAAGTGTGGCACTTTGGCATGATGAATACTTTGGGTTAAATAAAATTTAAAAGGCTCAGAAACAGCCTCAGAACCAAGTTTCTCTGACTTTCTGTTCTTTTGTTACTTGTCCTTCTGTATCCCCTTAAATTCAGAGAGGGGCTTTCTCTGAAGTACCTTCACTTGCTTAACGATAGATCCTCTAAAAAAGAAGCTGAAAGCTTGGCATGGTAGTGAACACCTCTAATTCCAGCCCTAGGAAAGCTGAGAGAGGAGGGATGAAAGTTTGAAATCAGTCTAGGCTATATGGCAAGTTCAAGTTCAGCCTGGATTACAAAATGATAGATCTTGTTTTGAAAATAACCAAAAACAAAACAAAAACTGAATTGTCATGAGTCTTTCACCCCCAAAATCTCATCAACTGGGGAAGACTAACTTACAGGACAGGCGATACCACATGTAGACATGTTATTAGTGTGCTTGCTTTGGCACCACATATACAGACAACTGGTAACAACTGGTTTGTGGGTCCTGGTTACTGGTTCTTGGGGTCCTGAAGAATTGGAGAAGACACACAGAAAAGGTAGTGGGGAGGTACATTTATTGAAGGTTGAAAATACGTACACTATACAAAGTAAAAGCAGGCCAGTGAAAAGGCTCACAGTGGCCAAGAGGATAGTGGAGAGGAGTCTTTTGTATCAGGAATTGACTTTTCCCTCATGTAAATAAGGCATTTAGGATGGTTTTCCTATCAAAAACTCACTTGGTCTGAGGCCAGACTTAAACTGCCCTATCAAAGACTTGCTTGGTTTTGCCCCAAATGTAATTGAAAATAGCACTTTTCCTTTTTTAAAATTATGCTAAAGAACTTTAATTTTTGTTAGTTAACAAAGAATCCCTTTAAGTCATTTTTTGGCATGGTGCTAAAGGCTCTGTCAAGACTGAACACAGGGCATTGCTTATTCACGAGTTCATAGCATGTAGCACTGACTCTTCAAGTAGATATACAGTTAAAATGTAGGTTTGTTCATATATTCTTCCATTGTCTCCTGTAACATATCAGACTCTTTAATGGCTTTAACAGCAGTTTTCTTAGATGTTTACTCAACTTCTCCACCTATTATAAATTCATCAAGGATAAAATATGCCTTTTCAAAATTAAAGATAATATCCAGCTTGCAGACATTTCCAAAGTATTTATCCAGCAACTCCACATAACAATGCACAATCTCTAGGGTCAAGAACTAATTGTCTTGACTTTCTACTGCACAGCAAAAACACAAACTAGCATACTTTTTATAAACAAGTTTTAACTCCTTCCAGTCAATAAAACTGCTTGTCCTGTAACCATGAGAATAATCTGAATAATTTCCCTGGTGATCTTTCTTTCTCTCTTTGTCAGGGAGGGTGGTGTACCATTTCTGCAGCCACAATTTCCCTTGTCAACTGAAGAGCAGTATGAATTGTATTATGGTGGCCAGGCCGCAGCTGCCCCTGCCCAGCATAGACGTGAGGATTTGAGAGCCAGAGTGGAGCGCAGAAGCCCTCAGGGCTAGCAGGTAGGCATCTGCTCAGACCATGCCTGCTTCCCACCATAGTACTTTTCTGATTGATCCCCCACGTTCTGCACATGTGCCCTGGATTTCATGACTTTTATGAGACCCAACTTAGCAACTTAGCAATACCAGCACCATGTTGAGAACATTCTCCTCCATTTTGCAAATATGTGACTTCCAGCTGCACTCTGTCTCCAGGGAGAAAACAACACCCCTAACCCATACATGTAACTGCAAGGTAAAATAAACAGAAACTGTGTTTCAGGTGATCTGCAACAAACTGTTACCCAGGGGAATGGGAAAAACTAACTGTGCTTATCTTGGCTTCTGTAACCAGCTTCTGCAACAATCCGTAACCCAGGGGAATGGGAGGAGGGACTTTTTCTGTGATTTTTCCCTTTAAATATGTAGTCCTCATTTCAGTTGGGGTCTTTGTCCTCCAACTTGGTTGGAGTGTAATGGGTCCCGGCCGAAAAATAAAGTTCTCCAGTAAGATCCCAGGACTGTGTCGTGCTTTGAGAGTTCGTTGCTAATCTAATTCGAGGACGAGGTCCAACAACTTTGACAAGCTATACTCTCTTTCTTGATCAGCTTTGCCCCAGCCCTAGTCTCCTACCTCATTTCTCCTTGAGAGACATTATCCCCATACTTCTTTATGGGATGCTGAGGGAGTGTAGGTCTCTAGCTTCATATTGCTGCTTCCTGTTGAAGTAGGCCCTACCTACTAGGGAGTATGTGCTTTATAACTACTTTGGGATGTTGGGGTTTACCTATTGGGCTGGAAAAAATTAGTTCCTGTATGTCAAGAATTGTTAAGCTGCCTGTTGAATGGAAGAACACTTGGTGAATTTGTCAAGAGAGTCATGGACTGTAGTCTGGATCATCATCTGAAGCCTTGAATGGATAAACTTTAATATGAGGTTGAGGAGGCAGAGGCCAAATATAAGAAGGAACAGGTCAGAATATTTCCCCGTCTGTCTTAAAAGATGGACTAGGACAGATTCAGCAATTAGAAACACTATTTTTCTGTTCTGTTATTTGAGAGAAGTTTTCCAAGGAATTTTATTTCCATGCTTCCTATGAGGAAGAAACCATGGCAAAGATGGATATTAGAAAAACTATCAGGAGCCTGAGAGCCATAGCCCTTGCAAGAATATGCACATTATGAATCTAATTAAAAGCAGGAGTCCCAATACAGGTTTGTATTTAAACTGTGGTGGGTCAGGGATTGTGAGTGACTCTACTTATCTGCACCTGAAGCAGTACCAGAGTCTTGCTTTTTTGATGAGGAGCCTCAGATCTTCCAGAGGTCCACAGGAGTGACTTTCTTCTTTTAGGTGGTTTTTATCCTGACTCTTCAGGTGGGGCTGTCTTTATCCTAGCAAGGTAAATCCAGCAATCTCTGCCACATTTGTGCTCACTTTGGCAATACTTATTCTCCCTCTGCCACATTTACTGCAATGGGTGTGGCAAGGATCACTGAAAAGGGCTTTAACTGATCTCCAGGAGTCCCTTCCCTTCTTTCCAAGTGCTAATGAGCACTTGGTCTCCAGGGCAGGCACTAGGTGGTCCTTCTGAGCCAGGAGCTGGCAGGACTTTGTGTTCTTACAGTTCGATAGCTTGTTGTACTTGACCCAGATTAATAAGACACTGTAGAAGTCTTGAGACTGCTGGATCCCCTCCCATATCAGAAAATAGGAAAAGCCCTCCCACATAACATCTGAAATGGACTCATATTTAGCCTGATTTTGGAGGTATTTTGAATACTCTTGAAGGCTAGTGGTAATAACCAGAGCCAAGACTCTTGGCAAATTTTTGCCGGAGTTCACTTGAGGGTCTGGTTGGTTCTTTCAACCTTTCCAGAGGACTGAGGTCTCCATGCAGAATGGAGATGATACTTTATTACTAAAGCCTTTGCCAGAATTGGAGAGCTGTCCCCAATTTTACTAGTAAAACTAGTAGGACACTGTGGGACAATTAAAATCTCATGGCTAAGAATTTGACCTTCAAATTGACATTAAAACCAGGAGGTGGGGTGGGGATTTAGCTCAGTGGTTCGGCCACCTGCACTACCTGCCTCGCAAGCGCAAGGTCCTGAGTTCGATCCCCAGTACAAAAAAAAAAAAGAATGCGAAGTTTCTACTGCACCTTTGCTTCCAGGGATTTAGCTTAGTGGTTCCAGAGCCTGCTTCACAAGCGCAAGGTCCAAGTTTGATCCCTGGTACCAAAAAAAAAAAAAAAAAGACCAGGAGTAAGCTGGAGCATGCTTGTAATCCTAGCACTTGGGGGGCTGAGGCATAAGGATTGCTGCAAGTTCAAAACCAGCTTGGGACTGAATAGTGAATTCAAGGCCAGCCTGAATGTAGTGAGACCCTGTCTCAAAAACGAACAAAAAGAACAGGGGTAAAGAAGCTCAGACTAGAGCTCCCTGCAGTCCTAATTATGGCTATCAATCTAGAGGAGGGTTTTTCCAGAGAAGGAAGTTAAAACAGAGTAAGCCACCCCTGTATCTAAAAGGAATTGAATTTGTTTACTCATGAAAATCACCGTCACCTGGGATTCCTTACAGGAGGTTAAGATGTCCATGCACTGCAGCATGCCCTTTCAGTCCTCTGCGTCAGAGCTAGAGGTAAGAGTTTTGGTTGGCCTATCCCCTCTTTGGGAGTGGGGACAGTCAATCCTCAAGTGCCGTCGGCCACCTGATGCACATAGCAGGGCCCAGCCAGTGGCCTATTACAGGTGCATGTCCAGTGCCCAGTTTCCTTGCATTTAAAGCAGGAACTCTTTCCTTGATTGGCCCTGGAGGATTTAGGGGTGTGCTTGAAGCATTGCCAATTGTGACAGCCATAATTTGGCCTGCCTTTTTTTTTTTTTTTTTTGGTTCCTCTCTTTTTCATTTTCCTCCAGATCCTGATGGATGAACACAGAAAAGATTACATCTAGAAATTTGGTCATGGGGATCTGGAGGCCCATCTGAAGTTTTTGTAATTTGCACCAAATATCTGGGGCTGATTTTGACTAATGAAATCTTAACCTATTACTGCCTGTCCCTCCTTGGAAGGTGGATCTAAGATCTAAGTTTGTATATTTACAGAAAACTTCTATAGTAGTACAGACAGCTTTTCTTCTTTGCCCTCTCTCATCTTTTGGTTTTCTGAGCCAAGGTCTTGCTATGTAGTTCAGGCTGGTCTTGAACTCAGTATTTAGCCCAGGCTAGTCTCAAACTTGTGGTGATCCGCCTGCCTCAGCCTTCTGAGTGCTGGGATTATAGGTGTGCACCACCACACCCAGCTCTCACCTTTTCATAGTTAATAGATTCTTTAAGGGATCTTTTTATTCTCATGATAAGAGCAGTCTTCGTTTTGACCTCTTGTTTCTAAATCACTTGGAGAGGGTGGGACTGATTTACTCACCAAAGGATTATAAGGAGAAGTTGAGGAGACCTCCAAGGGTGGTTTCTTTCGTTAAACAAGTAGGAGAGACCTGTGTCCCCCCTGAGACACAGGTGGGAATTTGAGGATAGGATCATCAATGTTATCAATCTCTTCTTTGGGACACCCTTAAGTATCATATCTCTTGGGCCTTTGCAGTGGGATGGTTTCTGATAAAGAGCTATAAAAGCCTGAACATCATGGATTTCAGAACACTTTCCTTGCCTTTTCCAAAGATCTAAGTGAACTACACCATTGTAATTTACACTTACCTTCTGCTCTCATTTTTCAGCATTTCCTAGTTCACACAGGGGCCTAATGGTAAGATTGGCAGGGTGTTTCCCATGGCACTTAGTGGGGTCTGTAGAGAGAGAAAAGATGATGTCTAGGGTTTTTGTTTGTTTGTTTTGAGACAGGGTCTTGCTATGTACTCCAGGCCAAACTTGAACTCACTATGTAGCCCAGGCTGGCCTCAAACTCATGGTAATCCTCCTATCTCAGCCTCCCAAGTGTTGGAACTACAGGTGTGTACCACCATGCCTGGCTAGGTCTAGGGTTCTTCTGAGGGCATCCCTGCAGAAGGATGGAGACCCATTGAGCTCTGGGGCATTCCCTATGAAACTCAAAATGGTGGTGATGCCTTCTCCATGGCCTACAGCCCACTATGGCTCCTTAAAAACCATGGTGGACTCCCCTACTGGCTCCAACTAACTACTTTAGAAAAAGTATCCCTCCTATTTATCCCAATAAAAGCCCTTGGTAATTATTTTTTTAGGCAGTAGAGAAGCCTATTTTTCAGCATTTCAGAAAGAAGCCTTGGGAAGTTCCAAGTACAAAGTTAGGGTCCGCATACTCAACAGGAGATTAAGTTGATGTTCCTCAGCTGTTTGCTCTGTGCTATTCAGACCCTCAAGCATATGTGTCTAAATCAACTTAATTTCTCTTAGAAGAATCAGGGAGGAGATCTAACCAGATTCAGAAGAGAGGAGGCGAGGAGGCCCATATGCTCCTTAAAGCAGAGACCACAGCTCTTAGCTGTAAGGGTGAGATTTCCTGGAGTCCAAGATGACAGTTGGCAAACACGGCAGAAAGGTGAACTGGGATGACTCCTGAGGTTTTAAAAAATAGGATTCCCAAAAAAGTCTCACTGAGAATAGCAAAAGATATAGGGCTTATTGAGGAGGAAAGTGCAAATGAGACTTTGATCATGGTGAGCACGAAAAAGGGCAGGGTGGGATAGGTGGTTAATCAAGGAGAAAACCAGGTTAAGGATAGCTATTCCCCCACAAAAGACTGCAAAATCTGAATGAAGTATTTTTTAATAAAATACTGACAGGAACAAAATGTGGAAGCAAAAGAGACATATTAAACTTTAGGTTACATCCACATGGAACCTGCATGGTGCCTAGTTTTCTTGCAACCCGGGGGAACTTAACATGGTCTGTTCCATGACTGGGTTAGTGGCAGATGCTCTGGAAGCTCTTAACTGCCTGACTCATACCCACAACGAATGACAATACACACACACACACAAACAAAATGCCAGAAACAGAAAAAGAAAAGAAAACTTTCCCAAAAAGAGAGCTACCTCCTCCTGGCTGGCTCACCAAGAGAATGCTACCAGTTTATGGGTCCTGGGGGAAATTCCTTGTAGCTTCTTGGGATCCTAAACAAAGAATTGAACAAGACAAAGAAAAACTAGTAGGGATGTGTATTTATTGAAGGTGGAAAACAGGTACACTGCAGGGAGGGCAGGCCAGTGAAGAGGGCCACGCAGCCATGAGGTAAATGGAGAGGAGTCTTTTGTATCTGGAATGGCTTCCCCTCATGCAAACAAGGCATTTGGGACAGCTTTCCTAGTAGAAACTCACTTGGCCTGGTGCCAGATTAAAACTGTCCTACTGAAGACTTGCTTGGTTTTGTACCAGACGTAAATGAAGAATTGAAGATAGCACTTTTAGCCAGGTGTGGTGGCACATACCTATAATTCCAGCACTCAGGGACTCGGGCAGGATGATCACCGAAAGTCTGAGGCCAGCCTGGGCCTACATAGTGAGTTCAAGGCCAGCCTGGATTACATAATGAGTTCAAGGCCAGCCTGGATTACACAGTGAGACCCTGTTTTAAAAAAACAAAAAATAAAAAACAAAAAAACCCCCCAAAAACAAACAAAAAAAAATGAAAGAGAAGAAAAGAAAATAGCACCTTTCTGATTGCTCCCATGTACAGTATTCAGGAACTTCAGAGTAATCTTGGATTTTGTGTTCTGCACATGCACCCTGCAAGATTATGCCTACCTACTCAACTGGCTTTGCCCCAGCCCTAATCTACCACCTCAGACAGACTTGGTCACAGGCTGTCACCTATTCTGAGCCCTGCTCCAAAGTAACTTTTTACCTGACATTTATGTGGATAATAAGACAGCCTTTATCCACCATACATTTCCTTTCCTCTCCCCTATAACTTCTTACCTTCCCCTTGAAGCCCTGTGTCTCTATTCCATTCTATAGTTCAAGCTGCTATATAGCTTTACTCATATGACCCTTCCTCAAGAAGGGTGACTTCAGTGTGTATGTTTGTAATTAAAATGCTTTTTCTCCTTTTAATCTGTCTACCATCAGTTTATTCCATAGATTCAATTATCAAACTTTCTGAAGGTAGGTTTTTTTCTCCTATGGAGTGAAAATATAAAGAACATAAAATAATAAAATGAAAAAAAAACATCTACTAGGAAAAGAATTAATCTGTGCAAGCATGTCAGGACTTAGACCAGCAAATTAAAACCAAAAGGTAGTATACAAAGGAGACCTCAGATCCCTACCTGAGAGCTCATTATAGAGGCTTTAGACATTCCTTGGATGTCCTCAGATTCTGCAGTGAGAATCTACCAGCATGTCTTGGTCTTTATTTACATTTTACTGGCAGTTCAATGCAGGCAGGCCTGAAGGGTCACAGGAGCTGTTACCAAGCCCAGCAAGAAGAGATGCAGCCACAGGCAAAAGGCTTGTGTGACAGGGACTGTGGTCCTAGGTGGAGGAGCACTGCCACTGCCGACACCAGCCATGCTCCCGTCTCCTGCTAGTGTCACCCACAGGCTGATCAGAGGTCAGAGGGCAACAGGAATCAGGGTTCTAAACCAGCATGATGGTGCACACCTATAATCCCAGCTATTCAGGAGCCCAAGGCAGAAGGATTGCAAGCTTAAGGCCAGTCTGGACAATGTAGTTAGACCCTGTCTCAAAATTTGAAAAACAAGTTTTAAAGGGTTGAGAGTACAGTGGTAGAGCACTTGCCTAGCATGTATGAGGCTCATAATCAGGTTGAGAAGGGAAGAAAAAAGGAAATAGAATGGCAAAAGGAGAAAAACTAGCACAGAATGTTTAAATTTCTTAATGATCTTTCTCATCTTAGAGCATTGCCCAGCATCTTCAGTAACAGAGATTGCAGTATCTTTCTTTTGATCTTAATGAGAAAGAATCTGAAGCACCTCCACTAATTACAATGCATGCTCTAGGTCTTTGATATATACCATTTATCAAGTTAAGAAACTTAAGTCTCCTAGTTTTTTAAGAGTTTATTACAAAGAGATGTTGAACTGTGTTTCTTTTCATGTTCAGATAATGATTTCCCGCTTAATCCATTAGTATGTGAATTACATGGATGCCTTATATTTTCTTTTTTCTCTCAAAAAATAATTTTTCTGTGAAATGTAAATGTAAAAAATATATAAACAAAATATAGGTAAATCTTACTGAATAATAATGAAATGAACACTCGTGTTCAATCCATTGAGACACAGAACATTTTCAACAACTTAGAAGCACTCTGTTACTTCCCAATCACGTACCCTTTCTTCTCCCAGAGAGGGAACTATTTTTCTAAAATTCATGTCAGTCACTTTTTTTCTTTTTCTTTTGGAGGCCTAACCCCTATATATGCATCCTAATGATATGTTGATTAATTTTACTGGCTTTAAAAAATTATACAGAACCCACTGCCATTCCACCACTCCTAGGGCAGAGGAGGTGGGCTACACGGCGCCAGTAGCATACACACACACACACACACACACACACACACATGCACACACACCCATGGAAGTGAGAAGACATGTAAACAAGTCTCAAAACCAGACTTCCAGATCACCTACAGTAACCTCAAAGGGAAACGAGATGGAACAATCTGATAATCAATCACCTGGACTCCCTGAACTGGCAACAAAACAGGATCTGGAAAAAATGAAATCAGAAATAACTTCTCAGATAACAGCAAAGATTGTGTCCATAGTGCAAGACATGATTAATAAATCTAGAGAGGACATAGATTTAAAAAAAGTAGAGGATCTGAGGAACA